TGTACAATTTGACATTAGAAGCTGTAATATAAACTCCTAAATATTTTATCTTTTTAACCATTTCAAAACCTGTAAGTGTAACTAACATATCTTTATCATCCCTAGACATATTTTTCGGTAATATCTTAGTCTTGTTACAATTAACCTTAAAACCAGAAACTTTCCCATATTGTGCAATAATTTCAACCAAATCAATTACTGAATCTATCGGCTCAGTTAATGTTAACACTAAGTCATCTGCAAAAGCTCTTAATCTATAATCAATCTTATTAACCTTAATTCCTTTTATTATAGAAGACTCACAAATTTTGATTAACAAAATCTCCATTGTTAACACAAATAACAATGGAGATAATGGACATCCTTGTCTCGTTCCTTTTTCAATTTTAAATGCTTCTGTTACCCCCCCCCCCGTTGACTATAATCTGTGCTGATTGCTGTTGATAGATAGCCTTAAGAGCAGACAAAAAATTTTCCCCAAAATTCATTCTATCTATAACCTGAAACAAAAACCCCCAATCCAATTGATCAAGTGCTTTTTCAGCATCTAAAAATATAAAAGCAGCCGGAATTTGGTTATTCATATCCAAATATTCAATTAAATTAATAATCTGTCTTACATTATACTTCATATATCTTCCAGTTGTAAATCCAGATTGGTCACTATGAATCAATTGGCACAACACTTGCATTAATCTATTTGCCAATACTTTTGAGAAGATCTTGTAATCTATATTCAATAAAGATATAGGTCTATAATTCTTAGGTTGTGTCAAATCCTGACCCTCCTTTGGTATTAAAGATATAAAAGCAGTCCTCCAAGTTGGAGGTACCTCTTTGCCCAACAAAATACTATTAAACAGTTCCTTTAATGGTTCTATCATTTCTTCAAATAACATCTTATAATAAATTGCTGTAAATCCATCTGTGCCTGGAGCCTTACCAACCTTTAATTGTTAATCGCCCCCTTAATCTCCTCAGATGTAATTAAACTATTCATTTTTCCCCTTTGATTATCTGACAACCTAGGAAAATGTGCCTCCTGTAAATACTTATCTATTTCTTCAAGTTGTTTTTTTCAGAAGCATACAACTTAGAATAAAAATCCAAAAAACTCTTTTTAACCAAATTTTGTTGAGATGTCATTTTACCATGATAATCTATTTTCTCTATAATTCTTAACTTCTGCTTCTTTCGTAGTTGGTAGGCCAGCCACCTTCCAGGTTTATTTGCGTTACAAAATGTATTATATTTCATATACCTTAAACTGATTGCTGTCTGGTCTGCTATTAACATATTAAATTGTTCCCTAAGCATAGTTATAGATACTTTTAAATTATTATCCAGCGGATTTAAAATAAAAGCCTGTTCTTTTAATTTAATCTCCTCCTCTAGCTCTTTTCGTTTTTGAGCTTGCTTTCTCTTATAAGCACTATTCATAGAAATCAAAATACCTCTCATATACGCTTTGCTAGCATCCCAGACCATTGAAATTGGAGTACCTTTATACATATTCAACAAAAAAAAATCTTTCAGTTGATCTTTACACATCTGCACATTTATATCATGTCTAAATAAATTTTCATTCAATCTCCAAGTTCTTCTCTTCCCCTCTTCACCAAATAATTCCATCCATACCGGACTATGATCTGACAATGTCCTAGGAAAAATCTTAACATTCTTCACCCTAGAAAGAAAATCATTAGTAATAAAAAAAAGTCAATTCTCGAGTATGATTGATGCCTATCCGAAAAAAAAGTATAGTCTTTTTCTTCCATGTTCCATTCCCTCCATATATCTTCAAGTTCCAGTTCTTCCTTCAAATCAAAAAAAGTTTTAGGCAATATTGAATTAAAAGCTTTACTGGAACCTTTCTTGTCTTTTCTTGGATCTAAAACACCATTCCAATCTCCCAACATAATAACTGATTTATAATCCATTTGATTTAATTTCTGATGTATCAATTTGTAAAACTGTTTCTGCTGTTGATTTGGAGCATATAATCCAACGATAAGACATTTCTTCCCATTCAAAAACATTTCAATAAAGACATATCTTCCTTCTGGATCAGAGTCAATCAATTTAGGCAAAAACTCCTTCTTAACATAAATAACTACTCCACCTTTTTTCTGAGGCGCAGGTGCAGTAAAATGTATTCCCAACCGTGAATTAATCAAATACTTTTGATCTTTCGCTGTAATATGAGTTTCTTGCAAACAAACAACATCATTTTTATGTTGCTTCAAATAGTAAAATATCTTTTTTCTTTTCTGCGGTGAGTTCAAACCATTAACATTCCATGTCAGGAACCTTGCCATCTTTAGTGGCAAAGAGCCTCAGGAACGCCCCTTGCAAATCAGCCGTCACTGATCTCTTCGGTCTCGCTCCTCCCACTGACTCTGAACTTACTTGCTGTGCTATGGGTACCGCATTCACTTTTTGTTGCTCTCTTTCTTTGCGTCTATGAGCTACACGGGTCAATCTCTGTGATTTTGGGTCATCTTTAATTTCCAAAAGTTGTAGCTTAGCTTGAACTTGATCTTGTAAATTAATAACACTTGATGATGATGTAGCTCCTTCAATAACTTTATCTTCAAGAATTCTTTCCTTCCTGGTCTTTTTAACTATACCAAACATACCACACATTTAGACTAGCTTTAGATTAAACTAGCCAAATTGAAACTCACCATAATATAAAGGAAATCTATAATTAATTATTATTAAATAATATACCTTATCTTCTTTATTCAGCTTTCCCAGAACTTTCTCAGGATCAGTGATTGTTGCCTGGATTTGGAAAATAAAATTGCGTAAATTCTGCTTGGCCTCTGAAAAGAAAGGGAGAATAAAGAGACATAAGAATATCCAAGAAATACTGCCATACTATATGATAGCAGGTCTACCACAGCTGAAGTTAACTAGATTCTGTGCAATATTTTTTAGAATTCTTTTTATATAATCTTTGTCATTATAAAAATGAAATTTAGTTGCTTGCTCTCAAAGTGTACACATACATAATACACATTTAAACATGCTATATACAACATATGTATAAACCTACACACTTACATACAAATAACATATAAATATTAATCACTGTCCATCCTGAATACATAACAGAAAGAAGAAGCTTTGGAGTTCACAAGGTTAATACTGTATGGAACGGAACTATAACTGAATCTGGATGTTCTGCTTCAGATACCACAGAGCTTCCTCCAAGAAGGTAACAGGAAAAACAGGTTGTGAAGAGGCTGTGTAGTGTCCCAGACAATCTTGCGAACTCTGCTCAAGCAATACTTATTATATGCTATGTCCTGGATGGAAGGGAGTAAACTACCAATAATCTTTTCTGCCATCCTCACCACTCTCTGCACCAGTGATGCTTCCACACCAGACTGTAATGCTGTATGATAGATGCTCTCGATCATCCCTCTGTAGAAAGTGGTAAGGATAGGGGAAGAAAGATGTGCTTTTCTCATGTGATGGAGAAAATGCAGGCGCTGCTGTGCCCACTTTACCAGGGTCTCACTACTGAGTTACCAAGCCAGACTACTCGTTAACTGCACACCCAGGAATTTGATGCTGGAAACCATCTCCACAGATGAATCATTAATACATAGAGGAGTGTGGCTGTGCCTGCCTTTTCTGAAATTAACAATGATCTCTTTGGTTTTTCCAATGTTTAAAACTAAGCTATTTTTCTTACACCAGTTCACCAAACCCTCAACCTTCATGCGGTAAGCACCCTCGTTGTCATCTTGAATAAGACCCACTATTGTTATATCGTCCGTATACGGTTGGTGGCAATATGGTTGGTGGCAAACCTAGCACAACAGTCATGAGTCAACAGGGTGAACAGCAGCGGACTTAGGACACAGCCCTGAGGATAACCCGTGCTCAAGAAAATGGTGTTAGAAATACTTGTTCCAGCTCGCACATACTGGGGCCTGTTAGTAAGAAAATCAAGATTTCTTTTTTTAAAGAATGATCTAGATCATGGCTTTTCAACCAGTGGTACGGGTACCACCTGTGGTACATTGGCACATGGCAGGTGGTACACGACCATCCTAGAAAAGTGGTAGCGGGGGAGGGGAATGAGCTGAACCGGTGGCAGCACCGCACAAGCCTGAGCGAGAGATGGCTGGAGCTGCAGGGCTGTCAGGGCTCAGTGGAAGCGTCAGGATCAGTGCCGCTTTCCAGCTGATCAGCGCTTCGGGGCTGTCAGGGCTCAGTGGAAGCACCAGGATCAGCGCCAGGCTCCAGCTGGAACTGTGGTTGATGACTATGTCCTGTGTTGGATTTTTTTGATGTGAGGGATTGTTGATTCTAGGGATCTTTTTTTCTAATCCCAGCTTCCTGACTCCAATCTTTCTGACAAGATTATCTGCATTTCTGCAGACCTCTGTCTAGGGCAGAGAGACTTGGGGGGGGGGGGTTGGTTTCTGCCTTTAAAATCCTTTGGGGAAATATATTCTGCCTTTTTAATATTTCCCAAAATATTTCTTTCTCTGGATTTTTCCCACAGTTGTAAGTCAAAGACTACCTGGTATATGTGCTAAATAATACTAATCCAAATGCTTGGGTTAATTTACATAACCAAAACCAGTGATTTAGTTCACACAACAGATTGAGCTGCAAAATAGCCAGCCACAGTTAAGCTCAACATAGAAACTCGCCACTACTATGTGCAGTCTAACCAAAGTAAGTTTGGTAAGTAAGCACAGCCCCATTCCTGCCTGCTACAGTTTACTGCATAAACAGCCCCACTTCAGATGTTGCATTTTGGCATCAAGAGACATCCCTGCCAATGTGTGTATATAGAGGCATTTGTGTGTAGTCTGTACAAAGGCTTCCCGGAATTCCAAACTAGTGGTGTGTTGTTGCAGCAAAGCTTTCATTTACAGTGCTATTCACACAAGTCTGCAGCCAACTCCCACAAACTTTTGGCAGGATTCGGCTGCCTAGTGTTGCTGCTTGGGGGCGAGCGTAACATCAAAACACTTTCTTCACAGAGATGCTGGCTACATTTGCACAACATTCTTTATTGCAGCTTTTTGACTTAATGTTATGTAGCGCTACCCCCGAAAGGACGCTGAAGTCCGGGTTCTCCTGGCTCTCCCTTGGTCTGGCTGCTTGGTCCAAGGGGTCCCTTACTTGGACACCTTTGCTTGGCCGAGACCTGTGGTGCGGTGGTGCTCAGTTTCTGTCAGCAGCAACTCACGTGAGGTGATGGTCAGTCTGTCAGCAGCAGCTCACATGAGATAATGGTGGTCAGTCTTTAGGCAGGCAGTTCACGTGCAATAATGGTGGTCAGTCTTTAGGCAGGCAGCTCATGTGCGATAATGGTGGTCAGTCTCTAGGCAGGCAGCTCACGTGAGATAATGGTGGTCAGTCTCTAGGCAGGCAGCTCACGTGCGATAATGGCGGTCAGTCTCTCTCAGCAGTTTACAGGAACCTCCCTTGTTCTATCTCTTTTCCCTCTGGCCTTGCCCCACTGGAACCCCTCCTTCTCTATTCCCTTCTCTCCTTCAGACTTGCCCCACAGAAACCTCTCTCTTTCCCCTTCCCTACTCTGTCTGGCTTTCCCCACAGAAGCAGAAGAACAATCAATCAACCTCCTTTCTCGCTCTCCCTCCGTTTTTCCCCCTTTTCTCCTTCACGTTACCACCAAACTTCTCCCCTTCCTTTTCCAATCACTTCCTCTCTTCTCCCCACCTCTTCCCTTTTTCTTCCGGCCAGCTGCCCTCTGAGCTCCAACAGAGCTCCAGCCTTGGTGGCCGCCCCAGTCCAACCACCAGTCCTCCTCGGCAGCGTCGACCAGCCACAATGGAGGCCACCGGAGCTCCCGACCTCCATCCTGGATCAGCAGAGCTCTAGCAGAGCCTCCCAGCCAGTGCTGATCCTGCCCCAACTCCTCTCTCCGCTACAGTTACTTTTTGGATTCAGAGGAAGCCCTGGACTAGTTTTTTTAAGCCCTCTGGGCACACCCATCTTCCAGGATTAGTTTATTAGTTCCGCGTCGTAAAAAATGTACAAAATTGGGTTAACTTACTATACTTTCAGTGAGCATGTCATGCCAACAGAGCACACCATCGTGCTCTGCTATGGACCACAAAATACTTCGGCTATCATGCTGCAGTTCTCTAGCAACACATCCAATGTCACAGTGGCAGCCAAAGCAACAAAAACAGGCACGTTAAAACACCCACCTGCCTCACGCCTTCCCCTCTATGGCTGTTGATAACCGCTCCACATACGCATCAGCCCGCCTACTGCTTCCATGTCCATGACGATGAAACTCTCCCACCTCCCACATGGGCAGTGCCTCTCCTGAGGTGAGCCCGCGTGCGCCTTCACACGTCTGGCGATGTGGAAGTATGAGCATTCAGAGAGAAACTCCTTGAGAAGAGTGCATGCATACTCCCCCACCTGGTCGGGGCTTTTCCAGCTCCTCTGTTCTCAAGGCGCCAAACACCCTGCTTCCATTGAGACTGTGGCACAGGGGCAGGACTTAACAACGGAGACAGGGAAGCGGTAGGCCAGCCGATGCGTGCATGTGTGCATGGAGTGGTTATCAACAGTGGCAGCAACAACAGCAGCCTTGTGCAGTGAGAGGGACGCGTGCAATTTGGGCAGTGTCAATGGGGGCGGGGGAGCAGCTGCTTCCTGGAAGATGGGAACCAGAGTCAGCTGCAGCAGGCAGGGGATAGCCCAGGATGGCGACAGCGTGCGTGCCCAAAGAGAGGGCTCTGTGTGCCGCCTCTGGCACGCGTGCCAAAGGTTCACCATCACGGACATAGGCGATCTATCAGAATGTGTAAATAATCTACTTCCCTTAAGCCCTCAGGATGGAGAGTTACACATGATATATTATGTTATGACCCCATTTATGGATTTTTCTTTTTTGCTTCCATACATCCTTCCCATCCTCTATAAGTCCAAATGTTCATGAGTTCAACTCCCTATAAGAAGGTTTGAATCCCATCAAATATCTGGTTATTTATACCTGATGAATACCAAATAGAAGGAAACTGGTCATATAGTGCCCACTTCCTGGTAGTCAGTGTAATGAGCAAGAAGTATAGGATAGTAAAAGACACTATAGAATTTAATTTCTGTTCTTCATCTCCTCTCTTTCCTTTATAAATATGCCAATGTATGTATAAATTATGGAGGTATGTCTTCTCCCTTCACCGTCTAACGTAATGCAAGGATATCTTATGAGAAGCAAATTAACAAAACCTCAAGTCATGTTTATACTTGGGGAAGATAATTAGAATAATAATTTAAAGAATTTCCATAACATCTTTCTATATTAAAATTCAATAGAATTTAATTTTTTCTAGTATGATTAAAGCAGTTTACATTCAGAAACAACCATTTATTAGAAAAATAAAACGACATTTATCAATGATTTTTTAGTAAATATTCATTCTAGGTTATGATTTTGCAAAATGCCTTTTTCAGAATTAGGGAAAACATTATGTATGCTTACACATTTTGACATATGAGATTAGACTATAATGGTAAGATTTTCAAATATCTCTATATAACTATTAATTTTCTATAACTATTATTTCAGATACAGGCTGACATTTTTTTCATTGCATCTATATTGCATTTTCATTAACTAACACACTTTACCTTTTTCCCCTAGGAATGGCATTAATTAGGCAACATTTTCAAATCAACTGTACTAAAGATTTCTTTATCTAATATCAACTGTAAACATGGCATTTTTAAAGGAACAAATATGACAGGCCCATTCCCAACATGGGTGAAATCTAAAATATATAGAGAGGTAAGGAAAGGCAAGGATCAACAGTGG